CTGGGATTTCTCTTTGATACTTTCTTTTTGTAACAGCTTTATTGAGGTATAATTCACATACTATACAATTTACCCATTTAAAGTGTACAATTCAGTGGGTTTTAGTATATTCACAGAGTTGTGAAACAAACCATCATCACTATCAATTTTAGAACATTTTCATCATCCCCAAAAGAAACCCTTTACCTTTTAGCAGTCACCCCACATTTCCCCTGAAGCCTGTTAGCCCTAGGCAACCAGTAATTTACTTTCTGCCCCTAGATTTGCCTGTTCTGGAAATTTCATATAAATAGAACCAAACAATACTTGGTATTTTGTGACCAGCTTGCTTCACGCAGCATAATGTTTTCAAGGACATCATGTTGTAGCATGTGTCAGTACTTTATTCCTTTTTGTGGCTAAATAGTATTCCATTATATGGATAAACCACATTTTGTTTATCCATTCCTCAGTTGATGGACATTTGAGTTGTCTCCACTTTTTGCCTATTATGAATAATGCTTCTATGAACATTCATGTCTAAGTTTTTGTGGGGATATATGTTTTTATTTTTGTTGGGTACATACCTAGGAGAATTGCTGGGTCATATGGTAACATTATGTTTAACCTTTTGAAGAAATGCCAGTGTTTTCTAAACCACCTGCACCATTTTACAATCTCACGAGCGGTGTATGAGGGTTCCAGTTCTCCACATCCTTACTGACACTTGTTATTGTCTGTCTTTTTTATTATAGCCATCTTACTGGGCATGTAGTGGTATCTCATTGTGGTTCTGATTTGCCTTTCCCTGATGGCTCTATTTGATTCTTTTTCAAAGATTCTAACTCTCTAGTGAAATTCGTCATTCTGTTATTTGTATTCTTGAACATATTAATCATAGCTATTTAAAGGTTGTATCTAACAACTGCAATATCTGGATCATGTGTGCTTCTGTTTCTGTTGTCTTTTTTTCCTCCTGGCTTTTGTTCAGTTAGTCTTTTTTCTTGGCATATTTGGTAATTATTGATGGAATATCAGATATTGTGTATGAAAAATTATAAAGGCTCATCAACCAAAGAAGATTTATTTTTTTCTTTCAGGCAGATTGAACATGGGAAGATCAGTTCGATTCAGTCAGGGATTGAGACAGTTCAAGGTTATTTTAGGTATTATTAGTGCTATTTCTGATTTGCATTACTCTCAGGGTCTAGTTCAAAGATCTCAACTGAAAGTCTGAGGTGTCTACCAGGGCCCCTCTTTCTTATTTAATTCTTCCCAGCATCATGAGATGGCCAAAGATTTCTGCTTAGATTGTTTTTCCCTCTTAGCAGCTGATTTCCGCTTGGTTTCCTGGCTTCTTGCCCCTTGCATGTACGGGTTAGGAATCAGCATGTGCTTTCAGGGAAGGGGCTTGTAGACTAATTGACTCCTTTTACTGTGATTGCCTTTTATCTGGGATCTCAGCCTCCCAAGTCCTAGCTGCCTTGATAGACTTGACTTCCAAATTTCCTACCTCTAGCCCAATCAGACTGTCCCAAGCTCTAGGATGTCTGTTTGGTTTCTATACTCGTAGGCACAAATCAACAATGCCCTGAGAAGGAAAAGTTGCTGCGAATGTAGGATTCACTTCAATGTGTTTCTCTTCTTCCTGGGCTCTTGGACTCTCAAGCTTTGGCTGCCTACAATAGCTTTAAATAGTCCTTTAAAAAAAAAAAATCTAGCTTTTATAGTTGTCAGTGAAAGAGTTAGTTTGTTCAACAAGGTACCCCATCATAGCTGGAAGCCTGCATCATTTAAAAAATTCATCATGATGGAAATATCCTTTACATAAATGGGATTGCATTTTAAAAAAATTTAATTGTGGTAAAAAACATAATATAACATTTATCCTCTTAACTATTTTTAAGTGTACCGTTCAGTGGTGGTAACTATATTCACATTGTTGTGTAATAGATCCCTAGGACTTTTTCATCTTGCAAAACTGAAACTCTATACTCATGGAACAACTCCCCATATTCCCCTCCTCCAGTGCCTGGCAATCATCATCATACTTTCTGTTTCCACGATTTTGACAACTCTAGGTACCTGATATAAATAGAACCGTACAGTATTTTCCTTTTGTGACTGGTTTACTTCACTCAGCGTAATGTCCTCAAGGTTCATCCATGTTGTAGCAGGATGTTGTTCATCCATGTGTGACAGGATTTATTTTTTAAGGCTGAATAATATTCTATTGTATGTATATGCCACATTTTGTTTATCCATTCATCCATCCGTGAACATTTGAGCTGTTTCCAACTCTTGGCTATTGTGAATAATGCTGCAGTGAGCACGATATGCAAATGTCTCTTCAAGTTCCTGCTGAAATTCTTTGGGATATATACTCAGAGCTGGGATTTCTGGATCACGTGGTAATTCTATTTTTAGTTTTTTGAGGATCCTCCACAGTATTTTCCATAGCAGCTGCACCATTTTACATGTCCGCCAGCAGTGCACAGGGTTCCACTTTCTCCACAGGATTACATATTTGAAATATGTAGCAATTAACTCTACACACATTATTTTGTCAGATTTTTTGCACAGACTTTTTTATTCAGCCTAGATCAGGAGGAGTGTTCATAGAGCAAGGTGTTAAGAATCCTTTCTCCTTTGTTCAGAAATTAGTCTCTTTCTCTGCCTCAGTCATATTCTTCTCTCCCATCCCCTATCTCAAGGGAAGGAGTGTCTGTGGTTTCCCTATCGCAGTTGGAGTGAGGCCAAGATGAGAGCACCACATATGGCTAATCAGATATGCTTTCAATGTTATTTATTACCATTCTTATTATTTTGGAGATGCTTAGTGTATTAAGTAGAAAGGGAGTTAAGACCATGGAATCTGGAGCCAGACTGCCTGGGATGAACCTGGGCTTCTCCAGCTACTATGTAATCTTTGGCAGATTTCTTAATTTCTCTGTGCCTCAGGTTCCTCATCCATAAAACAGCAATGCTAACACCTATTACTGCGCAAGGGCACAGTCTGCTCACTGCAAGACAAAAGTCAATCTTCAAGAGGCAAGATGGTGGCAGAGAAAGGGCATTTATTAAGCAGTAAGCCAGCAAATTGGAAGATGGTAGACTAGCATCCTAAAGAATCATCTCAAGGGGCCACAGAATCTTGAAGCCCTTATATAGGCACGTGGGTTATGAGGGAGGGGTTAGGAATATTGACCTTCTGGTGTTAGATTGGGAGTCACCACACTAGATCTTTCAGTTGTTACTGATGATGGCTACCAGCACAGACGCTCTGTCTGGGGGTCATCACATTCCTAAGAAACTCAAAAGAGCAGTTATCGGCTTGAATTATTGCAGTTGGGAGGTACATACACAAGCAGGGGCCATAAAATCTACAGAGCCTAGGTAGATCTGGAGGGTGCATATTCAGCTGGATTAGTTAATTAGAGGTCATTCAGAGTTACAATATGGTTTCTCTTCTACACTATGGAGTCCCTTATGTCAACCTCGTGTTGAGGCAGGTATCACACTCACTTCATAGAGTATTTAGGATTAATAAATTAATATTCACTAAGCACTTAGTGTAAACCCTTGGCACATAGTAAGTGCTGTGAAAGTGTCTGCTAGGTAAAACAAAGGTGGAGGGCGCCTGGCAGCACAGAGCATGTCCAGCCTTACCTCTGCTGTGCCGAGCTGTGTAGGTGGTGTTATTGCACGCTGCCAGGAGAGGGTTTTGGGTGTTACTAGATGGCTGCGCTACCTCCACGGCATGGGTGCGTGTGCTGCAGGTGGATTAGGAACTTCCACCTGGCAGCGGTTGATGAGGATTTTAGGCTAGTTAATTTTAAAACTGCACATGAGAAGCAGAAGCAGGCTCCGAGGACTGGAATTTGCTTGCTCTTTGATGAGAGATATTTGCATTTGTGAAGGAAGGGGGGATGGCCTTATCTCTGGAAACTCTTAATGGGGAAGGCAAGAACTTAAGTTGTTTACTATCTGGCAACCTCATGTAACTGACCCCCCCCCCCCCCAATCCTCCTTTGTCTTTGGCTGAGGATAATATTTAAGCAGTGGCTTCTGCCATTTACTCAATCCGGTTTGATTCTTATCTAAAAGTTGTGGGACCGCCCAATGGCCGGACCCTCTGGCATTGGTATCATTTTAACTTTTTTTGTCTGGTAAAGAGATAAATCACATACCTATGCTTTAAATTTAGCCTTACTCTCCACCCATGTTTGCAGCAGTAGCGGGGGCAGCAGCGGCTCCTCCTGCCTGTGGGTCCTGTCCCCACGCAGCAGCAGCTCAGACTGCCCATGGGTCCTCTCCCCATGCTATTCCATACTATTCTCTAAATAAAAGAGCACTACTGCCAGATCTTGAGAGTCCAAGAAATCTTTCTTTCGACTCCTCGGCTCACCGACCCCGCATCAGCGGTGATGGGGGAGCTGTACGTCTGTCGGTCAGAGGTGTTCTTGCACACGCCTGGGTGCAGAGGGGACTATACTCAGTGCGTTAAAGCAAGTGTCCCACACCTGAAGAACGGAGCGGGTTCTTGCAAGGAGGTGTGCTCCTCGTACTCAGGTGCTGTCCGGAGCTCCGAGCGGCAGCGGGGACAGCGGCCAGGGGCGCGCGGCAGGAAGGGGTGCTACCTACTTCGGAACGCACGGGGATCGTGGGTCCCACACCTGTATGGGTGCGGAGACCCAGCCCGCGCGCGCGCGCGCGCGCGGAGTCGGAGGGTCGGCCCCCACCTCCTCCGGGCAGCGACGACTGCGAGCCCGGTGCGCGTCGTAGGAGGTGTCGTTACACACTTCCTGTGGGTCTCGCGGACCACGGCGCGTTTCCGGCGCCGGCTGCAGCCCGGGGTCCGAGCCCCCGCCCCGCGCGCCGGCCCCGCCCCGCCCCCGCCCCGCCCCCTGCCCGCCCGCCGCGCTCGGAGCCGGGCGCGCGGAGCCCGGGGCGCACGGAGCGGCGCGCGCCGGTCGGCCGAGCCAGGCTGGCGCCCCCGCCCCGCGCCCCGCGCCTCCGTCCGCCGCCCGCCCGGCGCCTTCCCCGCTCCACTCGCCCTCGCTCCCGGCCCTGCGGCCGCTCTCCCTCCCCGCCTGCCCTCCGTCCCGCCCCGTCCAGCCCGGTCCGCCCGGCTCCCGCAGGCCCCCCCGGCGCCCGCGTTCCTATGGACAGACGCACAGACACCTGCAGGTGGGTGAGAGCCCGCGCGCGGGGCGGGCACGAGCGCGCCGACGCTGCGACCCGGCCGGGGAGCCCCTTTGTGTGGGGGGCGGCCGCGCCGGTGTCCGCGCTGCCTCCCCCTCGGCGGCCGAGCAGTGACCCGGCTGAACCCTCCTTTTGTCTCCTCGGGGGCGGGGAGGGGGGGCGGTGGAAAGGCCGAGAGTCCGGGCAGAGCCGGGCGGCCGGACATCGCCAGCGACGGGCTTGGGGGCGTGGGAGGCGGACACCCCCGGCGGCCGAGCGGGCTCCGGGAGCGAGCGCCGGCGGCCGCGGGCGGCTCTGGTCCGCCTCCCCGGGGCCGGCCGGCCGCCCAGCATCTCCGGTGGCCGCGGGCGCGCGGCGCGGGGCTCGCTCGCCCGCTCCTGCTCCTGCTCCTGCTCCTGCTCCTGCTCCGGGGTCTTTTGGAGGTGGGAAGGAGGGCGGGAAGGAGAAAGAAAAGATCGGGGCGCTTAGTTTCCAAGTCTTGAGATGCTTGTGGAGAGGGAGGGAGAGAGGTGGGTCGGGGCTTCGCCGGTCGCGTTCCCTCGCGGGGAAGGCACGCTGAAGTGCGTTTGGGGCGGGTGTGAAGGAACGTGCATCGCTTCGGTCCCTTATTTATTGTTTCTAACGGAGGAGGGCTTTCTCCGAAAGGCTCTTCCGCACCCCCCTCCCCGCCCCCATCTGAGGCTGCGCACAGTGATGTGTGTTTGTTATCAAATACATCGAGAAATGTATTTCCCTGGGTAGAAGGAGGTGGGCTGACCACAATCAAATCAAAATCAAGAATCTTTTTGGCTTCCTGGTGGCTGTTTTTTCTTTCTTTTTTAAGATTAGATGGAGACTTAAAGGCAAGAAATAAAAGGTGAACCTGGCTGTGATTTTTACAGTTTTATCTCTATGTCTATTTTAAAGTTTTGGGGTAAAGTTTTGTTATTTTCCAGACTCCTTAGGATTAGCATAATAGAATGTACCTGTTAAATAAACAGTTAACAAGCGAGTCAGGTAGTGACAGCTTCCACGGTGGAGGTGAAATTGGAGTGCAGTAAACGGTTATCTAGCTTGCCGTTCAGGCTAAAACCTTTATTTTTGCTGTTTTAAGATATGAGATCTTTAACAACATGTGGGGAGAACATGAATGTTAGAACTGATTTTTTCCCCCCTGTGATTGTCCTTTCCCTATCTCATTCTATGTATTTATGTATTCTCTGTATATAACCCAACGATTGTGTTGTATATGGTGGATATAGTGTTGTGAAAAGTACCGTGGATGCTATTTCTGATTTACGTTATCTGGCTGAGTTTCTTATGAACTATGTATTTGTAGATATTCAAATATTAAATGAAGTTGAATAAACACCCAGAAAATTAATTTTACAGATTTAGAATTTTAATGCAGGTACAGATTTATACCTTTGTATTAATCTTAATCTGCTTTTCACTTCTGGAAACTTTATTTTTTATTTTGTGCCTGTTGTTTGAGAATCCATATTGACAAACTTAAAACTGACAGTTACCAGGGAGATTACAAAAAAGAAAAACAGTTTGAGAAGCACTCAGTTATATGTACAGCTATATGTAGAAAATGGAAGTTTTCTTAAAAAATAAAACATTATTTAAACTTGAAGGAAAAACACAGTAGAAAAATATTTACTTAAACTTTCCAAAAGTAAGATGTAGAAATTGATCAGAAAACAATATACAATTTAATACCGTTTAATTAGGCAAACTGATGTTTGTCATTATAAAGAGAAGACAGTTTAGTATGCTTAGAATAGTGGTCTTTTTCAAGGAGAAAAATTTATCCTAGATTCTTGCCCTAGTTACGTTAACAGATTATTATTATTATTATTTCAGGCCTAATTTTGTAAATGCCTAGAGTGTACATTTTTGCACGCTTTACTTAAAACCTAGAAGAGGTTTCGTCTAACAGTGATCTTACCAACCCCTTTGAGTTGATCAAATTTTATTAGTTCCTGCTTTGACTTCCGGTCTAGATTAGATAAATGAATTTAAACTCTGCACAAAGGCACGGAGCTCGGTGCCAGGCGCTGGCTGGTAGGCCCTTGAGCAAGGTTCCTCTTCCTTTTCTAATAAAGATGGCCCAAAGAGAATGGTTACTGAAATTTGTTCAGGCTTTATCAGGAATGGTGGAATGGAGTTAAAACCCACTCCCAGAGTTTCAGCTCTTAGATACACACTCCTCATCAGTTCTTAGAAGAACTTTTTTAAAAGATAAGCTAACAAATTGAATTTCTTGCTTATGTATTTATATACAAGATTGTCAGTCGTAGCGATAAGGTTTAACAAAGAATCACTGTGTAAACTAAACACTCAGAGAGAGTGGCCTGTGTTGAGAATTGCTTGGCATAGTTGTAGTTGTGTCTAACAGTTTTCTGGAATTGGCAGTGTAGTGTCTTTATGTGGGCTGGCTGAAAGATAACGCCTAGTTTTTTGTTTTGTATTTGTTTTTGGACTGTGATATGTAGATAGTAATTTTTTGGTTTCTGTATAATTGACAATAATATATTAGTGTAATCAGAAGCAGTCTAGAGAACCTTACGTATTTTCAACTAATTTGCCTTCTGGTATGTTGGTATTTAGGAAGGCGTATAAGTTATTTTTCACTTTCGTGGTTGAAATTTCTTTTCTGTTGCTTTCGATATGACAAGTGCTACTTCCAGAAATTCTGATTTGTGTAAAGTTGGATTTTAAATATAGTTGAGCAGTATAAACTGGCATTTATCAGTTTCTTTTTTTTTAAACCACGCTAAGCTGTCCACAGTTAAATTTGATAGGCTTTTAAAAATCAGACTTTTCTAGCCTCTTCATGTTTGTTAGTTAATGTGGTACTCTTCAAGGAAACTCGAAATGGCCGCTTTATGTTACCTGGAACTCACAAATGACTAGTATTATCATTAGCAGTAACCAAATGGAAAACTGAAAAGTAACAATTTTATTCTTTATAATAGATCTATGACTTTTAAGTCCTTCTTTTTCATGCAGTTTTTTGTAGCCTGGTGGGGAAGCAGGTCTGGCTCTGAGAGGTGTGGACAGTGACCTCACGTTCCAGCCTTTCTGGTCCTGCGTTGTTTAAGATCAGCACAAACCCATCCTGCTTGCCGAAAATGCAGAGTTCCTTCTTGGATTAATATTCTGCTACCAGATGTATGAGGCTGGCTCTAAAGAAGCTTTTTCTCCTAAATACTGTCAAAAATAGAGAAGCTGAAGATTGGAGAGAAGCCATTTATTTTGAACGGTTTATTTTCTGTCAGTTTGTGTTTGTAAAGAAACCTGCTCATAATATTTACTTAAAAAGATCTACATAGTTGCCTGAAGAAGCACCACAGGTTTCTTTTTTTCCTTTAAAAAAAGTTTCCATAGAGCTTAACTCTTACATGGTACTTCTTGACTTTGCTTCTGATTAATTGATTTATAGACTTTATTTACCAGCATGAGTGGAGAATTCTTTTGCTATACTGAAATTGCACTCTGCCTGTGCTCTGGTCTGTTTCCTAGGTAACAAATGCACTGCATAGATTCCATAATGAGGACTGTGGTTGGCTAGTTACAGTGTAAATTCTGTTGTTTGGTAAAGCTTAGTCTCAAATTCAAATAAAGGTCAAGAAACCAAAAGTACTGAAAATGCAAAGTTTTGAATTTTATTTTGTATCCAGTGTCAACAAAGTTTAATACGCTTTTCTGGACAAAGACAAAAAGTATGCAGCAGTATTCAAGTTTGTTTTGCAAAGTCTTACACTGAAACAGTTGGAGAGCTTTTTGATATTTCATACTGGTCATACCAATGGCTCTAGTGACAAAGATGTATTTCAGAAACGCCTTATCACACTTATAGAGAAAGCAAAGGGATGTGGTCTATAATATCAGTGATTGGTCTTTTTGTGCTGAATGAAAAGTAACATGATGCGTCTCAAAGGATAAATCGTGCAACTTTGTGTGAAAATAACTTTTAAAAACTTTAAGAAGACGTTAAAACATTTGAGAAACGTTTAAAAACATTAAACATCTTGCCATAAAATGATGCATTTTGCTCGTTTTTTCCCCTCTGATCTGCCTGAACTTTGTGGACCTAGCGCCAGGGAGCAGGTTTCTCTGAGGTAGCTGCAAGTTGAAGAATAGCTTTCCTCTCCACCTTACTCTCTTCTTGAAATCTATGGCCTCTGTAGCTCTCGATGCAGAGCAGTGAATAATATGTGTGCAGTTGCTGCTAATTATTATCCGTTTGTAAAAAAAAATTAAAAAACTTGCAAAGAACCAGAATTCCATTAATACCCCTTGCAAATATCTTTTCTTTTCATGCCTGAAAATGTCTTTTTGTTTGTTAATCATCAAGGAATCTGTTAGCTGAAGTACTGGGAAAAAAAAATCTTTTGAATTCTAGAGAATTATCCAAAGTTGCCATCATTACTTTCTCTTCCTTGGCTGGATTGTTTTTGGGTTATTTATTTATTTTTCAGTTAATTTTAATTTCAGGAAGTGGACTTATCTTGGTGGCTTCTCTCTTTGGTTTTCCTCAAAACTGACACTACTTTAACCTTTTCTGTCCTTTTCTCCCCCCCTCCCCCAGGAAGATTAGCCCTGAGCTAACTACCACCAATCCTCCTCTTTTTGCTGAGGAAGCCTGGCCCTGAGCTAACATCCATGCCCATCTTCCTCTACTTTATATGTGGGACACCTACCGCAGCATGGCTTGCCAAGCGGTGCCATGTCTGCACCCGGGATCCGAACCGGTGAACCCTGGGCCGCCGAGAGGCAGAACGTGCGCACTTAACTGCTGCACCACCGGGCCGGCCCCTCTTTTCTTTTCTAATTGCATATACTGTGTCCCTTAAGTTTTCCTTTTTTAAAAGTATTTTTTCATTTCAAGCCTAGTCCTGTTCTTTGTTTATTTGGCTTGCCCAGAGGTGAGTTCCTTCTTCATGTTATTGTTCATTAACTTTTCTTGTTTCTGGAAATGGAACTTTTTTTTTTTC